AACTTTTGACTGGATCACAACAGTTTATTTGAATCCATATCATGAGCACACAAATCAAAAATATAAGTTTAAATAAATTCTTGTACCTACAAAACACACATGTAGCTAAATTTAGCTATACCTATGTACACGCACATATTTCTTTTTGTTTTATTAAGAAGGCTCCCTCGTGCAGAAATGCCAACCCACGTATAGGTCTCGAATTTTCTCGCAAACTCAGGTCTAGTTGGCATCAGTGGCGCAAGGGAAAACAGACTAACCTGTGGAAATAAAATGACTTGATCAATTTTTAACAAAATATCTCGAAATTTTTCAGAGAACCCTTACTTTGCTAGGCGTCATTTGAAAAATAAGGTTTTTTTCTACAAAACGTGTGCGCTTTTATTACGGAAACCGTTGATTTATGCGAGTTGATAAGTTGTTTTCATGCTCCACCAAAAGGAAACGTGTTAGAAAGCGCTACATTAAATTAATAATATTTCGAAATTTCGCAAAGTGAGCGATATAAATAATTATACCATTGGATTCAACACATTTTTAACTATTAAATTCATCTGCTCTTGGTTCAGGAATCGTCACGAGGGAGCCTCCTTAAGTGCCTATCGTACTCAAATTTTGGTCTTTCCCACCGATGCTGAAAATGTGCGTATAGTTTGGCACGCTCTCTACCATATGCATTAGTAATAATTAGTAATCTTCCTACTAGTCTCTGTTAATGACATAAAAATTAATGACATAAGTCCCGATCACTAGATAACCCGGGGTGGGTACTAAATTGCCACTTTATAAATTAATAACATAAGCACCTATCACTAGATACCCTATGGCACTTAGTTGCTGCTTTATAACTAATAAATCATTAAATAACAACACAAGCCCCTATCACAAGGTAACTCAGGGCACTCTTGATCATTTAATTAATTTATAAATCATTAAATATTAACACGAGAAAAAATTTCTGGATAACTAAAGACACTTACGAGCTGCCGTATTGATTAATAAATCATTAAATAACAACACCATTGCCTATTACTAGGCAACGTCGGGCGCTTACTGGTATCATTATAAAACATTAAACGGAAAATTTTAACACAAGCGACTGCACTCAATAAGTTCATAAAAAAACAATTATTAAATTTGAAAAATTATATATAATGCTAAAAATTTATCTATACAGTTGTGTAAACACTTATTCAATTAGTCATGTAGACCTTGAATGTACGATGCTGTTTGCTTTGAGAATGACCGCAGTGCCCTCTGCTCGAGATCAAAGCTGGTATTCTAAAATCATGGAAACGAACGCGTATGATAGTAAGCAAAAAACAAGCTCCCTAAGAGAATTTATTATACTATTGAAAATAATTTTCTGAGAACAAAACAGTTAAGGGATTCTTAACATGATTACAATGTTTTAATCAGTGACTATAAGTCCAATTACTTTTAATATCATACTTTTAGTTTCCTAGTTAGAAGGCTAAGCAAAAATAATACAAGACTCCGACCAATCGATAACCATACACTTTCATCAACCATACAAGTCCGATGTACGTAGAGCAGACGTGATGACTGCTTTAGTAGGGGAGACCCGGGTAATTACGTTTCGTGGGTTGATCTGTCACCCATACTTTTAAAATAAATAAGTGATATAGTGAGCCAATTTTTTTTCTTGTATTTGTACAAAACATAAGATTTTTTCTCCAAAAGCAATTATAATCAAATTACCTGTAGCATTTTCCAGAAATTTTTTGAATTTTTAAGTGAAAAAAAATCATTGGCTTCGAGTTTTTAGTCGATGAATACAGCTGAGCTGTGCAAACTCATGCAATAAATTTTAGTGTACCTTGTAGATCAATTTAAGGCATTTACTTTGATATCCAGTTCACTTGCATTTGGATCAGGTAAAAAAAAGTTATTTAAATATTATGAATAGTTCGAGGTACCACTGTCACTTATGCCGGGGCACGAGCAGCCCAAGAGTACATCGTCACGCGACGCCGCTGTTGTCGCATCTGAGCTGACCTAACCTTTTTGATTGCCGGTACCTACCTATACCTATTTACAATGTGACTGGTGACAGCACAAATTAGAGTAAGTAGGTACCTCCAAAAATATTTTAAATGAATGTAACTGTGATGAAAATGGTTCGAAGTTACCAAAAAAAAAAAAAAAAAAGTAACCGTTCCAATAAAATGACGTCTTCTTCAAGCTCTATTGATCTAAACTCTATTCCAGTGGTACCATTTCATCCTAGAGCTGGTCAATTGCTACAATTTTAAACTTATCCTGTTTTTTATTTTTTGTAATTTTTTATTTTTATTTTTACTGTGCAAACTCTGTTCTAAACCAAAAAGCTAGCGAAAGTCACTATGATTACGATAAGTTTAACGTAATGTAACTTACATTATCTACTAAAAGTATTATTATGATAATAAGATCTAGACTAGAAATAAAAAATTATAAACAAAATCAAAATGTGAAATAAAAGTATTGTTATGATAATAAGATCTAGATTATAAAGAAAAAATTATAAGCAAAATCAAACTGACAAAGCTGAATTGAGAAAATTATAATTTTACGATTCTTAAAATATTCGTAAAGTACTTTGTAGACAAATAAATTAACTTTTTTTTTTCTATTATTACTTCATCATTACCCATTAAATATTCACTGCCAGTGCATATTTTACTTTTTTCTAGGGCTAGTCCTGCCCTGGTGTATGACGGTTTTACCCCGATCCGGGGTATGATCGTCACTTTACTAGCTTTCAATTTAAGTCTTATTAATAGAAGAGAGAAATTGTTTTGAACATTTAAAATGTTGTAATTGATTGATCTCTTACTCTCTTCTATTTTATGATATTTTTTTCAATTTTTATAGTGCAAGTACAAAGCCACATCAGCTCAATTATGTTAAGGTATCAGTGGTACCCCGGTCTCCCTACTACTAATGTATATTAATTGATAATTGCAGATAAGATCTCATGATATGACTAACCTGTATGAATAACTTTTGACTCCTATAGCAATTATGACAAAATTTTGAATGATATTGACTTTGGTTCAGTAGCGTACCCTAAGATCGCCATTTACCACCAAGAGCGCTGGTATAGATTTATTTATCTCTTGTAAGTTAATTCTCGGAGCGAATAAAAATCAATAAATATTTTAAAGAGTAAATAGTAAATAACTAGAAAGAGACAAAAAGTTTGACCTCTCTTTCTAATCCTCCACCAACATAGATATACCTCCTCAATATTTATATAAATAGAGCTCGTTGTCGGCTCAGCTGGTAAACGTGCTAGCCATTAAAATAACACAGCTCAAGGGATTGTGGGCCAATGGTTATGCCCAGGTATCGGATCCATGATACCAACTTAGTGTATAAGATTGTTAAGTTCAAGATAAAGAATTTCATAAGCGATTAAGAAATAAAATAATTTGGATGAGTTCTTAATAATTTTTTTTGAGTGACCAAAGATATAAGATGTAAAAAGCGAACATGAAAAGACAATGTAATGACAGCAAAAATAATGTAAGAAAAATGTGTAACGATATGAATAACATGGTTTATACTATACGTAAAATAGTAGTTTTCGTTGCATAAGTGCTGTCGTCTTCCGGGCTATTTTGTGGCCAGAGGGACCTGCGAAGCAGAATCCGAGGGACGTATGGTAGCCACGATGCGAAAGTGCTAATGTGGCTATGTGGCAAATCCCATTTTTTCTACCGAAGGCACACCAGCCTCTCAAAAATATCTGAGGTAGGAGATTATGTATTATGTCGCTATGGCACAAAGTACAAACATAAGCGCCTGAAGAGCGTGGTAGTTCTATGTTGGTGCCAGATCCATGTGTATTGTTTTTCTTACCAAGAGTGCAAAGTGCAATTTTGTGAATGTTGGCACACTTGACGCTCAGTAAATCACTTTGGTCCCTAGGGCAGAAAAGTACTTTGAGCCTGAAGGGGTCAAAAAACTTTTCTGCCTGTGGGTCCACAGTGATTAGAAGGGCGAAAAGTGCGGCTCAAGGGCACAAAGCGGTAGTTGCACTTTGTGCTCATGGTAAGAAAAATTTTTTTTTTCTGACCTCGAGCGTTTCTGAGGGTTGGGTGTGCCCTCAGTTGGAAAAATAGGATTCACCACATAAGTGCCATCTCCCTGTAGCTACCTTACGTTTCTCTGGCCACAAAATAGCCTCCGGTATGATCGCACTTATCCAACGAAAACTACCATTTTCCTATTACTTAAAACTCATTTGAAGTGTTATTTTAATTTTAAGAAATTGTTGATTGTATGTAATCAAAAATAATAATTGTTTATCATTAAGTTCTCTTATATCCAGTTGTAATGAATAAAACATATCAGTTTTTTATTGATCTCATGACTTTGTTAGCCGAGTTTTTATTTAAATTAATTGACTGTTATTTCTGTTAACACTGAATAAGTGTATTTGTAATTGTAAGCACAGAAAATCTGCTTACTTTACACTTTTGTCAAAAGTTTTTTTTTGAAATAGTTTAAATAAATTTTAAGTACGTTAATTCTTACTACCTTTTCCGGATAGGTTTTCTCTAATTTTTACTATACATCTGTTTGGTTAAAAAAATCGTAATATGAAAGCAGCACTTTCTTACAATTTCCTTTATGAGTACTTTGTGCTAATTTTCTTTTATTTAATGAGTTTAGCAATAATGTATATCAACGTTTATTTTCTAGAATCCTTCTACATTTCTTATTAACATATTCCTACATGCGTTATCTCGATTATTCCATCAAATATTTTCTATTGTAATTTGTTTTACTTTTAAGAAAGTTGTAGTTTATGGTCTAGTACCTTAAAAAAATTGACTATTAACATAATGCTATGTCGAGTTGCTTGTATAAAAAAAAATCAAGAAAAGGCTCTTAAGAAATTATCATTAACTGTTTTTTTAGGATTTCTTAAACTAGGTGTTTTAATAAAAAAAAAAAAAAAAAATTATAATAATGTAGTCACAACTCACCTAGAGCCGATACTACTTCCTTGACAGCACTGGTCTTTACAAGATGGCAAGTAACAAGTTGCATGCTGCCTTGTAAGGCCTGACATGGATCCCGCATGCTGCACTTGAGGAATGATCTGCCCCACCCTAGGTACTTCCTTCCCTATTGTACTAGGACTAGTAAGTGTTATTGGCACCGTATATGTCCTAAGCTGTTGCTGCTGCTGATTTTGTAGCATATCTTCACTTCTACCACTAATTGCAGAGTTCAATAATATACAACTCTCAGCACCTCTAGTAGTAGAAGCTGCAGTACTTTCTTTACCTCTTTCTCCACTGCAATCACCAACTCCACTTTCAGTGTGAACTTGTTGTGTCTGACAACTTGGTGGTAACATACGATGACGATTGGGCAGAGAATGTGAATAGTGAGAATGTGGATGGTATTGGAAAATTTGATGAGAGCCCACAGGCTTCTGTTCAACAGTAGCGTTTGCTGGCAATTGGTGACCATCAAAACTATCTTTGCTGTTTATGGGAGGAGAAGACGAGGGGGGTGCCACTGATGCACTAAGGCCATTAGGAAGGCTGTGTCGGGAGGTCTCAGGTCCTGGTGGTACCTGCTGAGGTAGCTTACTGGCATTACTAATGATACTACTACTGCTATTGTTGCTGCTGCTTGGAGATATTGACAATGTAGGTAGCTGATGTTGCTCGCATGTTCTATCCAGAATATTAACTGCAGATTGCTGCAATTGTGTTGATGATGGATAATGTTGGGAATACTGTTGTTGTGGTGACTGATGCCAGTCCAGCATGTTGCTCCTGTAGTTCATGGTACATCGTTTATTTGTAGAAACTCCAATATTAAAAAAACTTTAGTGCCATCGCTCAGTCAGTATTATCGGTATAATTTAGTGTTATCATGACTAGTATAGTTACTTAGCTGACAAGTACAAAGCTACCTGTAAAATAATTAAAAAACAAATGTCAAGTTTTCTTAGAAGTAATTAATTTTTCGAAAAGCAGTAATTTAAAATAGATAAAAAAAGTTATTGATGTAAAAAGGACTTGACTTTTTTAATCAAAGATATTATATGTATCATGCAGAACCCTTAGAGAGAAAAAGAAAGAGTACGTGTATTGACGAGGTAGGCCTAACAAAATGAAGCTATTCATTAGACCTTTAGGTAGAAAGGTAGTTTAAAAATTATTTTGTATTTATGTGTATTTCAAGTCAGCGACGTTAGTCATAATTTAATCTGTGATTAGAAAATACAAGGACGTGCTAAAGAGTCATCAACCAATCCGATTTTCAGACTAAACGTGATCTATCTTAGAGAATTTGGCCGTGATATTCAAACATATACAGTATTATAAGCAAATGTTTATAGAGTAAAACTAATGAAAAATTGATTAAGAGTAAAGAAAATTTGATGAATGATAATAGATAATTTTCTGTCTTCTATTATTACTAAAAAAGATAATTTTTTTCATTAAAAAAAAAAATAATAATAATTGTTAACTAAATTAAAAAATTAGTAATATTAAAATATAACTTTATTGTATAACTATGTATTTAATAATCATATAAAAATTTAATTGAATAGACACTATTATAGTAGTTTTTCGTTATATAATAGCTCATTTTTATTGATAAATTTTATAGATACATATATTTATATATAGGGTTCTTGTTCAAATAAGTGCTTTCCTTTCAATAGTATACTTCTGAGGAATGGACTTACTAGTTTAATTCAAAATTTTTTTGAAAAATTCTAGCTTTACACAAAAAACCTGTTTCATGAAACTATTCAAATGTTTAATTCATAATAAAAGTTGATATAAGAAAATGACCAGGAGTAGAAATTTATCATTTTATGTTACAATGGAAACAAAAATGTTCATTTATGTAAATTCAAATATTCAACAATTTTTAATTAAGTGCTTATAGGATGACTAAAAATTATTAAAAACGCTACACCTAACTCTCTACATTAACATGCTACATTTACCTGCTATTTCAAAAGTATTTCGCTTAAGCATACATACTACTTTTGTGTTATTAATTTTTATGTTTTTAATTCTTTAATCGTCTCTACAGAGATTTCTGGTGCGCATTTTCTTGAAACAATCCTTTTCTTTAAAGTCTGTCTCTTGGGTAAGTAATTTCTACAGCTAAACAAATACTCTGGTTTGTCTTTAAAGTAACTTCCCTCAAAGTGTAGTGAACATATCTTAGCTATTACTGTCCATTAAATATTTTTTTTCTGTTACATTAAAACTTTTTTTCTTAACTGTTCATGGTGCACTAGTTAACAAACCCTTTTTTACTGTTAACATCTTTCTTACTACTATTGTACGTACAACCTTTTGCGTTGTATGCAGGTGTGTTTTAACAATTTTAAAAGAATAATCATACATGTGTCATGATCTCAGCTTTAAGTTTGGTTGCAAAACGTATTTACTAACATGGCATTCGTTTGGCCTCAAATCTTATTAGTTGATTTTGATACAAAAAAAGTATGCGTCTATTCAGAACACCCTTGTTTTTTAACATTATGATTATATTCGATTATGATAATTTATTAATAAGACTCTTAGTATTGTCCTACATCTACAGAGGGTCAAGTGCAGCGTGGTAGATGCAGGAGCTTCTCCTGATTAGCTCTGGCACATCCAGGACCAACTCGAACACAATCCTAATCAACCAATCACTGGCTCGGAATCTCTCATCTGTGAGCTTCATATGTTTGAATGGCATACATCATTATGTATAAGTAATGTGGGTAATATACATAGATATACAGTTTCTAAAGAAAGTTCTGAACATGGCGGCTCATCTGCCACACTGCACTTGATCCTCTGTACCCACATCCCGTGCGCAGTGCCACTTCGCAGTCTTACGAGTGCGTGTCTGCAAGAGGTTACACCACACTTGTGAGAAGTTACGCGACAAATATGCGTGCATCATTCAGATTTCCCTTGCATCAATTAAAAAAAAATTTTTCCACGAATTACGACTACGTGTTTTGAGTGATGATGAATAAGCGCTAGTGTAGATAATCAATTTTATCAACGCAATAAAATTGTAAGAATTGTTTTTTTGGTGAGAAGTTCAACTCATTTGTTTATGTAATTACCATTTTTGTACTTTTCGACACGCTTTAGTAGTGTACTGCATGTTCGAAAGTAAAAATGGCAATAACAAGCACGTACAACTTCAATTTCTGTCAATATGGAGGCTGTCCAAAATCGAAGCTTTCCCGTGGTACTTGTAAAAATTTACCAGTACTACTACTGAAAAGTATCGTCACGACAAATGGATTAAACATACTGGTAAGACTTGATATATTATGTTTACCAAGAAAACAGATCTAAAAATAAAAGAAGATCACAGTGCAGCGACTGACTCTGGCGGCAAACGCTTAGTTCTTGTTGAAAACGCCACGAAATTTTTTTTTCTGGGCTAAGGTTTAATATCCAATTATACAGAAAAAAAAATTGTATGTTAATTCGAACATAACAGCCAAAAAGCATAGAAATATATTTCCTTACAAATTTAAAAATTACCTTATAAGTCTTACAAACAGTATGTTTTTTTCAATTTCTTAATATGAAACTGTTAAATTTTGACATGAACATAGTTTTTAGTTTTTTGACATTAAATTTTCATATCAATACTGGACTTAGTTAAAACAAAAATTGTTAAACATTGCGTTGTTTAAAATATTTCAGTACAAAATTAATTTTTCAGCTTAAACGATTACAAATATCTCAGCTAGTTTTGCATTTTTCGTATCGATGGTTGCAATCTGTACGAAGAAAGCGCAAATTTAAATTATTATATTATTAGGAAAGCTTTGTTTAAACAGTTTTTTTTACGAATAATTCCATTAAAGTTGTCTTATTTCATCTGAAAAAAAAAATTTTAATATTTTTTGACACTCTTCGAATAAAAAACTTGTTTGTAAGTGAATACCTAAGCTCTAAGAAACAGCGAATTGACTTAAGATGGTTGGAATGTTAAACCCATGACAACTTTGAACTTCCTCTTTGATTCAAGAAAATTGTAAAATGTATTTTAATTATTTAAAAATGCCTCACATTCTAAAGTATAATGAACTATGTGACATCGTAAAATTGGGGGAGAGTCGATAAGGCTGGTTGTTGCCCCTAATTTGGTTTCAGTGAAAAAATTTGATAAAAATTCCTGAAGTACCTTATAATAAAAGGAGTTGATTTCACCCTAAACAGACAACCACCACCCCTCTTAACTATGCCAAACTACCCCTGGAAATGATGAAAATACCATTAGTTTTAGAAAAAAAAAAAAAAGAGGTAAGACTCAATTATAAATATGTTTTTGGGGTCGCTGAAACCGAATATGACCACAAAAAATCATTTCAACTGACCATTGTCCAGCTAGCACCCCCTTAGCACCTCTTGTAAGGAGTGGAATTTTAAATTTTTATAAAAAATCGAGATGTATGTGTATTTCCATGTTTTTGGGGTCGTTAACCATGGTCGCAACCATTATTTCGAAAAGCTGTACACGTTACTTCAGAAGTTACACTTCATAAATCTGCAAAAAAATTATTACTAGGTTTTTGGGGCTTAAGATTTCAAATCAATAGGACCTTTGACGTGTCGTTGCAACCAGGGCACCTCTACATAGTGATGGTGGGCAACGGAGGTGTCTCATTATCCAGCAGAGTCCCTAGTTTATGGTGATGATGTCATGGCAACCACACGTAAAAGTTTTATGGGACAGGGATTTGGAACCCCAGAAGCGGTTGGACAGGGTGGAAAAGCAGGCCTGCAGGCGTCGTAATTCAGTAACCGCAGCTTTAGATTGTTGGGAAACTTGGCCTCTCTAGAGCCAAATACTACAAGTAAAAAAATGGATAGCGATCATATTATTACTTTGCGTTTGAAAAGAACGAGTAAATCCAAAAGTTGTTGCTTCATTTGTTACTCTACAAGTAAGCTTTGCGATGTACCACTTGAAACCAGGTTTCGTATATTTATCAACCGTGGAATAATCATTCAGGCTAGACCGTGATTATGTAAGAGACATTTACAAGGTAAGGTCATTAAAGAAGATGAAGGCTTTCAAGTCCCAACAGTTTCAAATGCGACAACCTTGACTAGTTCAGAGATCAGTATTTTGCTTGAAGATCTTAGGTGTTTTGCTAAAAAAAAGATCACTAAACTTTGACATTCCTGGTGCAATGAACGATTCTGACTACATAAGACGAACAGATTTATTCGCATCGAACTATGATAACCTGTTCGATTATATGAAAGAATCCATTCGAAATACATCTATACTTTCTACACTTTTTCAAATGCCACGAAGGTATATAGGTAAAGCTATTGACTCTGCAAGAAAAGCTCTCGTGGACAAGTTTGCCTCATTTCATATTGGCTTAGATCACTTCAGCAGAGAATACTTTATAGAAAATCACACAAGGGACTTAGCTAAAGACTTATTTGCAAATGCTGAAGACGTGGCTTTCGATGTTGCTGATTGGACATATATATATATACAAATTGAAAAAAGCAGTAACTATATGTTTCAACGACGAAGTTACTCTGTTCATAAGATTAGACCTTTAATTAAGCCTATGATGTTAGTAAGTACAACTGGCTATATTTGAGAAATAAATGGGCCTCACTTTGCGGATGAAAAAACTAATGATGCCAGTATACTGAATAGTTTGATACGGCAGAGAGCGTCTTTTTTTTTGAATGGGTAAAGCCTGATGATGTAGTGGTTGTCGATAGAGGATTTCGTGATTCCATTTAGATTTTAGAAGAATATGGACTCATACCTATTATGCCCCAATTTTTAAAAAGGGGATCGCAACATGACACTGCAAGTGCAAATGAATAGCGACTAGTAACAAAAATAAGATGGGTTGTTGAATCTATAAACAGATTAATAAAAGAGTGGAAAACG